GCCCTGTAATCCACTACCCACCCCCAGCCTGAGATGGCATTCCCGGAATGAAGGCAGTGGGGTCCAACTTGAATATAGAATATTTGTAAAGCGGAAAAATTAAATCATTACATTTTAAAAGGTCATCTTCAAATGAGACCGTCCTGCATCTTTAGGATAAAGGGGATTTTATGGGGTCATCAGCTCAAAGGGACCCATGCTGGTAACTTCTCAAACAAAACTTAGGTTCATGCATCTAACTGATCAGAGAGAAACAAGAAAAAGAACAAAATTCACATATTACTCTGATGACAGGTGAAGAGAGCTCATCAGAAAACCATAACTGATGGTTTCCTTTGTGCATCTTCTCTAGTGCTCTAATTACTAATACAGCATGCATGTGTTCCATAATAAAACACCCACAATGGTACTTGTCAAGACTGATTTATAAGAGGTGCTGTTCTGAAATTTATTGGATTTCCATAATAAGAAATCATATGGCATATCAATTTTTCCATTTACTCTTTTAAGCAACAAATCAAAAACCCTGAAAACAAAACAAACAAAAAAAGCCACTACCTTCCCTTAAGCTAAGTCAGGGAAAATTAACCATTTAATGTAGACTCTGCAAAATGGAGAAAGATTACGGGTATGAAATGAATGTCCAAAGGATCTTGATCATGTATTAATTCTTTTCTTTCTTTCTTTTTTTAAAGATGTATTTATTTTTTATTGGAAAGTCAGATTTACAGAGAGAAAGAGAGACAGAGAATTCACTGCCCAAGTGGCATACACACAATCATAATTGCACCCCGGGTATTTGCCTGAAATAATGATACCCACCCAAACACTCGCACCACAGTGCCAGGAAACAACCCAAATGCCCATCGTCCGGTGATGGTGCATAACCACACAATGGGCAACAGTACTCAGCAACGCCACAGGAAGAATGGCTGGCATGCACCAAAACCTCAAGACCATCACGGGGACAGGAACACAGACCCAAATTAGGTGGGATTCCATTCATATACCATGGGCCTTCAAAACACTTCATTGAGGGGCAGGTATTGGGTCAAAGTGGGTTAAGCTAATGCTGGCATCCTCTATGGGCACTGGTTCTTGTCCTGGCTGAACCACTTCTGATCCAGCTCTCTGCTAATGTACTTGGAATACAAGGGAAGACAGCTTAAGTGCTTAGGCCCCCTTGCACCCATTCATGAGAACTAGGATGAAACTCCCAGCCCCCTCCTTGGGCTTGTTCCAGCCTCAGCCAAGAGATGAAAGATTTCTTTCCAAATCTGCCCTCCAATTAGACAAGTAAATTTTTGAAGGGGAGCAGTGGTGTAGTGGCAAGTATGTATTATGAAAAAATTGAACAAGGATTTAAAAATTTCTGTGCCAAAATAAACATATTTTCTAATTCAATTTCTCTATGAATTCTCTAAAATCTTCTCATATCATGATAAAAACCCCATCAGTGGTTATATGCAGCTCAAAGCAGGAGCTCAGAGCCTCTTCCAGGTCTCCTACACGGGTGCAGGGTCCCAAGGCCTTGGGCTGTACTCGACTGCCACAGGAAATAGGCAGGGAGCTGGATAGGAAGCAGGCCACCGGGATACGAACCAGCGCCCATATGGAATCCGCACATTCAAGGTAAGGACTTTTAGCCACTAGGCCATCGTGCCGGGCCCTGTTTTGTATTTTCATTATCACAGTAATTTCATGTTCATATACCTGAAAAAATCATTATTAATTCAGAGTACTTTATTATAAATTACATTCCAGTAAATTGTTTTGAAACTTAAATACTAAAAATTTAGGGACTAGCTTTGTGGGGCTAATGGTGTGAACTATCATCTACAATGCTGGCATGCCAAGAGTGCAGACTCATGGCACAGCTGTTCCGACCTCAGCCTGGCCCACGCCTAGACAGCGCAGCCATTGGGGTGCAAACTTGCAGGTGGAAGATCGAGCTCCAGCCCCCTCATTCTCTGCAATCTTCAATAAAAAATAAATATACCTTCAAAACAACACTAAAAGTTTTACTTGTGAATAACAATAATAATAAAAAGTCAAAATACAAAAGCTTTGATTTAAAAACCAGGTCTAGGGGTCAGTACAGTGACCTATATGGCGGTGAATTCACACTTCCAATCCAGCTTCTTTTTTTTTTTTACTGTCTTTTTTTTTTTTAATTGTTGTTTACATTGTATTATGTGGTACAGTTTTATAGGCGCACCATGGGGGGAGGGGTATGGGAGGAGTGGGGGGAATCCCCAATCCAGCTTCTATTAAATAGACTGAGAATATAGCAGAGGATGGTCCAAGCTCCTGGTTTCAAACTGGCCCAGCTCTGTTGTGGCCATTTGGGAAGTGAGCCAGAAGATGGACAATCTCTCTGTATTTCCTTATTCCACTCCCTGAGTATCTGCCTTTCAAATATATAAAATAGATAGATAACAGGTCTATATCATTGTCATAAAAATGGACAAATGGAATTTTTCTAACAGCAATTGAAGCTTTAAAAAATTATAATTGCTTAGTTAGATGCACTTATATTTAAACAGTCCTACCAGGACATTAAAACACTCTAGCATAGCTATAAAGTTTTGTCTATTTTAAACTTACAGACCACTAAATCAACAAATGCCTAACACTGTATTAAATCTGCCATTTATGTCAGGAAATCAATAGAGTTTTAAAAATATATAATGTAGGCACCTTTTAAAATTTACTTCTTTATACATCCCAAATCTATCACTCTAAGGTGCTCTCCTTAGCCCGGGATGCCTGTGGGTGTGTCACAGCGCCTGCGGCTGAGTGCTGGCTCGGGCTCTGACTCCCAGCGAGGCAGCACTGAGCGCCTGCTGCCCACTTCACACACAGGGACTGCACTGCCAGGCCCAGGCTCCTGCTGTCTGGTCCAACAGCAGCCACTGTGGGCATCTGAAGGGTAAACTAACAGAAAGCATATCTCTCTCACTCTTCCTCCCCTCCCTGCTTTTATAAAAGCATCGGAACACTAATTTCTCAGGAGATGTTTATTTCACTTATTTTTCATTAAACAAAATGTCTAGAGCAATTTCTGTGAGCCAGTACAACAACAAAAGTTGATCATTCACACAGCACCAAACTTTTCTACTGATCACAAACCAAGCAGAGGGTGCATCATTCTACAGTACTGCGTAACTCGGGGAACCTGTGGCACCCTGGCCAGCCCAGGGGGGGCCAGCGGCAAGGCAAGGGAAGGCAAGGAAAGGGAAGGCGCATCGGGACGCCCTGGGGAGGGGGTTTCGGTCCTCAAGGACCATGAGCAGAGCAGCCTCAACTGCCTCTGCACAGAAATATAATCTGCAGAATTCCTGGAGGATTTGGAAGAAGAAAAGAAATAAAAGTGCCAAAGATAAGCATATTTAATTAACTACAGCAAAATCTTCATTATTCAAAATTCACCTGATGAGCACAATTGTGAAAGAGGGATCTCCCCCAATACTGCTTTTATGCAAAAGGAAAAGCCCACAGAAACACGCCCTTCCAAGGCCGCTCTGAATGTACACACTCAAGTGATTCTGAACTCAGATGCTCACCCTTCGTCTACCAACTGAACATCAATTTCTGTTTCTTCATTTGTAAAATAACCTTGAAAGCCCATTCTGATTCCATCATTACAATAAAGAGCCCTTATTTAAAAAGCCAAAAAAAAAAAAAAGAGAGAGAGAATAAATTGAAAAGAAAGTACTGAAATGTGAAAGAACGTTCAGTTACTTAGAACCCAGACCATTTCCAGCAAGCTTCCTCAACCCAACATACCACTACAAGGTTATGTAACACCCAAGAACCAACTAGAGCAGCAATAGAAATCAGCCCCACCACGCGGCCATCTGCATGTGTTCCCAAAGAGCAGGCTCCGCAGTGGAAACTGCGTGGAGGAGAGGCCACAGCAGGGAAGGAGGCCTGCCTGTGCCGCAAGGCAGCTGGCCACCCCAAGCCTCAGGTTCATGTCTATTTAGAGACTAGAACAGATGATCCTCACAAGTTCCTTCCAACTACAGTGACGTCCGAGGCAAAGGCGAATACCACGCAGGCACTTCATCCCATTGACTCAATGGAAGAACTGCTTTGCTTCATGTGCTGTGTCCTAAGGACACATAACTCCTTAAGAATTGATCTCACTTTAGTAAACATACAGATAAGCATTATTTTATGTGCTGTGTCCTAAGGACACATAACTCCTTAAGAATTGATCTCACTTTAGTAAACATACAGATAAGCATTATTTTATGTAAGTTTAGATTTCCATTACAGCCCTTTGGGACATACCCTAAGGCCGAAGTGAAATATCAATCAGCAACCAGCAGCCGCTTCCAGCAACCCTACCGTCTGCAGCAGCTGCTATTCTCAACACGCGTGCTCGGGGCAAAGGAAATGAGCCAAGAAACTAACTCACTAACATTAGTCTTACTTCTTAATTTTTATTTTGGACAGACTGTTACAACTTAAATAATCAACTTAAATTTCTTCTATGATCATGTGAAATATCCATGGCTCCATGTACTTGCAAGCACAAGGCCTCAGGGCCACTGCAGACTAAATCACCGCTCTGGGTCCAGACCTCTTCTGACTGACCCTGGATTATGACTCTCTCCAAATGTACCTCCTTGCAATCAAAACGATGAGCCAGCGTAAGCAACCTCAGAGGCATGTCGAGAAGTTAATGAGCTCACCACGAAACACTCAGTACAGCTCTATGACATCTTGGTAAAGTGCCAAGCACTGTTACCAGGATCTCAATTGAGGTTCGCCACAAACCTGTAGCACAGAGATCAGGAAATGAACCTGCAAATGTCACATCACTGGCCTGAGGTCCCTGAGCCCAAGGTTAACTCAGGATCACAACTCGGCTACCCATCCCAGCGCACCCACCCCGGAGTCACTAAGACCCCACTCCCGCTGCGGAGTCCCCACAGCCAGCCTCAGGGAAAACGGGCCATATTCTTGCACAGTGACTTCCAAAAACTTACTGTGTTCAGTGCATTGAGTGTGGTGTCATCCCGAGACGCAGCGACACAGCCATCTTCCGTGGAGCCTCCATCACACATCCCGGCAAATGCAGCCATGCTCCTGAGGGGAGGGAAGTAGGTTCCCTTGTCAGTGCAGAACTTAACCCTTAACTGCAGGGTGCATCTTCAGCCCAAACGCAACTCCAGCAGCATAACGTGCATGAACTGCCAGAACCTTCAGTCCTGCCTCTACTCTCCCACAGCTCTGCTACAGGGAGCCCCTCCCGCCTCAGCACGAGTCCTGCTCCATTCAGCTGCGTACAGCTGTGTTATTTCTTCTTGTGCTTCCTGGTGACCACGACTCTAGGTTTGAGTGCATGGTAATCTGAATCTACTGGCCATGCCACTCCCCTGGATTTTAACACTTGCAAAGAAACATTCAGAAAACACAGGAAATGTGGGCATGTGAGATCTAATTCTTTTCCCGCTGAACGTCAGCTGTCTACACGCAGGGAGTGAAGGACCAGCTCAGACGCCCTGTCTCTCTTGAATCCTCCCCCGCCCTGCTCCTCCAGGCAGACACCAGCCAAGGCTGCAGCTCGGATGCCCTGACCCTGCTTCACGGGTTTCTGCGGCACACAGCTGGGGCTACGTATGTCCCAGACATCACAACAAAGAAAGCTCTCTTGCCTGTCCTATGGAATGCTAGGAACAAGTCTAACCTTGCCTTTTGCACTTTAAGCACTTCTACATTTCCGAGCTATACAAGATATTCATGGCACATGTAACATACGAAATGTCAAACTCAGACCAGGTACTAATGACAGCCACAAAGCAGGAGCCGGGTGGAATGACGGAACTCCACCAAGGTGTGGCTAACTGGCCGTACGTATACTACCAAACGACAGAGACGTCGTGACGTAAAGAGCAGGGGCCTCCTACAGAGCAAACTCAACGTCATGGAATACCCAATAAAAACACAAGATGCCCCGGGGGTCCAGGCAGACACAGAGGAGGCCTCACCTGGCCGCCCGCAGGTACATGAGAAGGTCACAGTCGTTCACCCCAGGCATCCAGACGAGTTCTTCATGCTGGGTCACAGTATCGCCATCTGGAGAAGGAAATGGCTGCAAATCTGGCAGTTTGGCCTGAAAGACAATGAGGAGAAGGCCATCAAGGCTGGGGTCATACAGAACTGACTCAGTACACAGGGTGCTTGGGGACAGACGCAGTAGTCACCAAGCCGCCTTGTTTTGGTAACTAAAATCCCCAGCAGAACAGTGGGTTGCTTAAACACACCTGGGTCATACAACTGAGCCTTTTCACCAAAGATTTCACAATGGGCTGTTTAATGTCCAGCTAAGAACCAAAAGAGTCACAGTAAACTAGTGCCCACATGACCCAAAGAGTGAAACAGAAAGCAATATGTAAGTAAAATCAACTTCTTAGGAGATAACAGCTACTTGATAGAGAGTGCAAATAATTTACACGAAAGACATATACATATACATGAAACTTCACCCACAAATACTTGCTAAAAAGTTAAGGAAGCTATCCTATTATGTTAGTGTTGCTCTCAAGTGAATCAACTGGAACATGTAAGTCCTGGTCAGCATCCAACTCATGGAATATTAAAGTCAGGAGGAAAAGCACACTTGAATTGATTTATGGGGATAGAAATCAGGACAAAAATTCTTTTTGGGAGGTGGAAATGGTTTACTGGAACTTTCTGTGAGAGCAGAAATATTTTTTGTATAAATCATCTAAGCAGAATAAACAGCACGCCTAAGAGAACTCGACAACCAGATTCTACGTCATCAAACTCAGGTAGCTCTGGCATCTCCACCTCCTTCCTCTGCTGGGCAGAGCAGAACACACTGTGGCTCCCATGGCAGAGAGCTGTGCCAAGTCAGTATCTGCAAGACACACATGCTCTGATATAGTCAAAAAATGGACAGACTTGCTCAGATTTTCAGCAAACAGCTGAGTTAGGAAGCTCTGGTGTGCACAGCACTCAAGCAAGGGGGCGGAGCATTAGGCAACACTGCACACAGGAATGAAACAGGCAGCACAGATGTAATTTTACACAGTCCAGTTGCCACATACAGTAAGACACCACAGCCCAAGCTGGATGGCCCTGCTCCAGGTGCTTAGCATAGCCACACTCAGCAGGGACTCTTCCCGTGGGGTGTGCAGGGTGTGCTGTGGGGAAACGAGACGGGGTTGCCCGATCTGGGGCATGCTGCCATGCAGGGTGGCAACTGGTGTCTGCACATCCTCACAACTTCCAAAACTCTGTAAGGCACTTTAATGTGGAACCTCATGTTCTTAAATGTTGGTTATTCAAGTTTTATTTATTTATTTTTTTTATAAGTATTACTCATTTTTTTTTAAGATTTATTTTTATTATGTTTTCATTGGAAAGGCGGATATACAGAGAGGAGATACAGAGAGGAAGATCTTCCGTCCGATGATTCACTCCCCAAGTGAGCGCAACGGCGCGCCCATATGGGATCCCGGGCGTGCAAGGCGAGAACTTAACCACTTGCGCCACGGCGCCGGGCCCGGTTATTCAAGTTTTAAAACATGACTTCAGGAGGTCTGACAGGCGGCCTCTGAGGCCTCTAAACGTGTCTTAGGCTTTCTCCAAATCAAGCACTACTCTTGCGTGCATTTGTGGTGCGTGCACAATGAGCTCTGCTTCACACACACAATGGCAATGCTGGACTACAGCCAGAACATGGTGGCTCGACAGGCTGAGCTGCCAGCATCCCATTATGAGTGCTGGTTCAAGTTCTGGCTGTCCCACTTGCAATCCAAATCCCTGCTCATATGCCCGGGAAAGCAGCAGTTTGCTTAAGTATGTGGGTTCCTGCACCTACATAGGAAACCCGGAAGAAGCTCCTGGCTCCTGATTTTGGCAAAACCCAACCAGAACTGTTGCAGTCATTTGGGGAGTGAATAAACTGCCTTTTAAATAAACAACAACAACAACAAAACTCTAGACATTAGAAACACAAAGAGGGAGAAAAGTGGGTGGGAAAATACAATGCATAAGAATGGCTAGAGCAACTGCAGATACCAAGAAAGTACGAGATTTTGGTCTCAAACGCAGTGTGAAGCAGCAGTCAGGCCCACTTCACTGAGCCACTCCAAGAAGAGCTGCACTTTCACCGGCCCCAGGGAAACACTAAGAGGGAGCCGGGGAACACAGGAACTCTTCCAGAGCTGCTTTCCGCCTGCTTCAGCAGCTTCCATCCTGCTCCTGCGCTAACACGTACTGGAAGTGAGATGCCTTTGATGACTGCTGTGTTCCTGTAACATCCTCTGTGTTGTTTTAAGGCAGAGTTACTGAGAGACAGGGAGAAGACAGGCAGGCAGGCAGGCAGACCTTCCATCTGCTGATTCACCCCCCAAATGGCTGCCAATAGTCAGGAGCCAGGAGTTTTATGCAGGTCTCCAACATAGCCACAGGAGCCCAAACACCTCAGATGCTTCTCCAGGCCTTCAGAGGGAGCTGGATTAGAAGTAGAGCGGCTAGCACACAAACTAACACCCCTATAGGAGGCCAGAGTTGCCAGCAGAAACTTCCTGTGCCAAGCAAGTTCTCTGAAAACATGAATGATATGCAAGAAACGCTTACAATCTAGAAAGAAAAACAAGCAACCAGGCAAACTATTGTGAAAGCCTCCACAGCCTTATCAGGCTGCTGGGCCCTGATGCAACGGCCACGGCGACCAACTCCCCAGATCCACAGCCACTCAGCTGGCACACACGGCCCTCATGCCCACCACATCTTCTCATGATTTAGAAATGGGCACATGGCCCAAATCACCGCAGCAAGAAACAGGTTCTTCCAGGAAGGTTCTAGAGAAGATGTACTTGCTCCAAAGGGGACAGGAAGGATGATAATGCTCCACACTCACTGGTTGTCACTCCTTGTACATTACACCAAGATTTTATGTGCATTTAGAAAGGAGAACTGATTCCAGTAAAATATAATCACAGAACAGAGTGTTCAGAGATAAAGCAGCTTGTACTGGAAACGGTGCAATGCAGCTTGAGGCTGTGGGCCAAGCCCTGGGGGACAGTCACACACCAGAAAACTGCAAAGGAGCACAGCAGAGGCCAGTTCTGACTGCCAGGCCAGCCTGCAAGGTGACCTGCTGGTCAGAGAATCCCACCCTGAGATAAAAAACAGGAGTCTCAGTGAGCTCAACAGAACCTGAGCTGCCACGGGTGCACCCAAGGCACCTGGGACTGGGAGGCATCCTTACAGGGAATTCCACACACAACAGAGCATCACTTGGCCCCACAAGGAAGGGACTCGGCTGTGTGCCATGCATAGGAAAACCCTGGGGACAGATACCAAGTGGGAGGAACTGACCACACAAGGTCTAACTGAGTGACTTCACTTCCTGTGAGGTAAGGGAGTCAAGTACACAAGACAGAAAAGACAAACAATGCTGACTGCCAGGCGGAGGGAGAAGGGGCTGGGACAGCGTAACAGCAGCTCTGAAAGGGAAAACAATGATGGATATACACAATAAAGGACTGTATACAAAAATATCTGAGAAGATAAATCTTGTATTGTGTGTACTCATCACATTTTGTGAAAGTATACAAGTGAGGATCTTAAGAAAGAAAAAAAAAATTGGTATTCACGTATAATTCCCACAGCATCAACAGTTCAAAGATACTGCATAATAGAGAAATAGCAAACAGAAGCATAAGATACAAACACTTGTTTAAAAAGCCACTAAAATTCACTTTACCTGATGGCTAGGACCAACACGAATTTCTCCCTGGGTACTGTTCAGCCTCCTGCCACAAAAAGAGCACAGGAGGTTAGCACAACATGGTTCCCACAGAAGCAGCCGCGTATTTTAAAGAAAAATTATTCACTTCCAAGAAGTAACTTTTCCACTTTTCCTAAAGTTGTCCGTGTCCTCTGTACCATCTAAGGAGTATGGAGTTCTCTCCTTTTCATTCATGAAGTATATACATTTTTTTAAAATTTGCTTTTATTGCAAAGGTAGATCAGATTAACAGAGAGAAGGAAACACAGAGAGAAAGATCTTCCAACCACTGGTTCCAAGTGTTCGTATAGGCCAGAGCTGAGGCGATCCAGCCTCTGCCAGGTCGCCCACACGGGTGCAGGTCCCAAGGCTTTGGGCCACCCTCGATTGCTTTCCCAGGCCACAAACAGGGAGCTGGACAGGAAGCGGAGCTGCCAGGACACAAACAGGTACCCATATGGGACCATGTACAGATAAGGTGAGGATTCTCTTCACTAGGCTATCGCGCAAGGCCCTCATGAATATCTATTACCACCCCTCCGTCCCCAGGCACTGCACAGGGCCAGAGCGCTGTTGGACTCACAACGTGGGACCCTGCAGCCTGCAGGCCAGCTCAGGAAAGCCTTTTTTTCCTTTGTGCAGTGACACACCTTCACTGTATTCCAAAACCACAAATGAACTTGGGGCAAGGCCAAGGAGCAGGCCTGTAAGCCTGAGAGCTGTGGGTGACCGTGAGCTAACCTCCCCTAAGCTACAGGACACAAGGAAACAAAGGGCCTGGCAGGACCCAGAGACACCACGATTTTTAAAAAGTTACTTCAGGGACCTAGGTTTCAGTGCTTCTTATAATTTAACAATCTTTTGCATGAACAGCTTTCTTTTTAGCAAAAGGGAGCAGCCAACGTAACAAGGAAGAGAGAAGAGTGACACAGCGAACTAAGACTTGTGGCCCAGTCTATCAGACTGTGACAAATGCAGCTGGAAGACAGCACCCACCCTCAGAGTACCAGCCCAGGCACAGTCACTGCAGTAGAAACATGAAGAAATAGTGAGAATTACAAAAGTTGGGAAGGTCTGAGAGGAGACATTCTCTGAAGTAGCCAGGTTCCAAAGGGACCTGAGGGGGCCCAGCTGCAGGGCAAAAAGGGATTCCCAGTCGGAAACAAGGTGGTTAGGAGGGGCAGGCTAGGAAGAAGGCCGGCCTGGAGAAATGCTTGCCCTGTTCCTCTATTCGGCTTAGCTTCTGCTTCCTTTTTAAAAGTTATTTTTATTTGAAAGGAAGATTTTCCAGAGAGAGAGAGAGATCTTCCATCCACCAGTTCACTCCCAAAATGGCCAGAACTGAGCCAGTCTGAAGTCAGGAACCAGCAGGGAGGAGCTTTTTCCAGGTCTCCCCCATGGGTACGGTCAGTCTCTGCTGCTTTCCCAATACATTAGCAAAGAACTGGGTGGGAAGCAGAGCAGTCGGGACATGAGCTGGCACTCAGAGGGGATGGCAGCACCATTGCTGGAGAATTACACTATTAGACCATGGAGCTGGCCCCATGCTTAGCTTCTTCATGTTGGAAAACAGCACCAAGAAGCCTGTGCTAAGTGGGGAAGCCTAGATCGAGTTCCTGGCTCTCCAAGTCAGCCAGCTCCGTGCTGGTCAAGCAGGCATTTGGCAAAGGACCCAGCAGTGACGTCTCACCCTTGGGTGCACACTCTTGCTGTCTTCTCCTCATCTCCAATCAAGGAAGAAAAGAAACATCCTAAATTGCTAAATGGTTCTGTGTTTTAAGTTATAACTAAAGGATTAGTAATGTAACCAAGTTACAATATACAAAACAAAAGCAAAACAAAGAACCTTCTTAAAAGATCATTTAAGACTAGGGCCAGTGTGGCTAAAGTCCCTGTCTTGCACGTCCGGGATCCCATATGGGCACTGGTTCTAATCCTGGCTGCTCCACTTCCCATCCAGCTCCCTGCTTGTAGCCTGAGAAAGCAGTCGAGGATGGCCCAAAGCCTTGGGACCCTGCACCCACATGGGAGACCTGGCAGAGGCTCCTGGCTCCTGGTTTTCAATCGGCGCAGCTCTGGCCATTGTGGCCATTTGGGGAGTGAATCAACAGATGGAAGGTCTGTCTGTCTGTCTGTCTGTCTCTCTCTCTCTCTCTGTATATCTGACTTTCCAGTAAAAATAAATAAATCTTTATTTTTAAAAATCATTTAGAACTAACTACCCTTTGTGGCAAAATTACTTCTGAACTATATGTTATTTTTAAATATCAGTGCCTTGGGCCCAGTGCAGTGGCCTAATAGCTAAAGTCCTTGCCTTGAACATGCCGAGATCCCATATGGGTGCCAGTTCATATTCCGGCAGACCCGCTTCCCATCCAGCTCCCTGCTTGTGGCCTGGGAAAGCAGTTGAGGACTGCCCAAAGCCTTGGGACCTTGCACCTGCCTGGGAGAAGCTCCTGGCTCCTAGGTTCAGAGCAGTGCAGCACTGGCTGTTGCGGTCACTTGGGGAGTGAATCATCAGATGGAAGATCCTACTCTCTGCCTATCCTCCTTTTTTATGTGTCTGACTTTGCAATAAAAATAAAACAAATCTTTAAAAATAAATAAGTCAACATCAGTGCCTCACGGCATGGAATACAGTATTTGTCAGCAAAATCAGAATCTGAAGTGCAGACACTGGAAGCAGGCTACCAGAGTCAAGAACTATGGAATACAGAATAAATTATGTTTTAACTATTGATTATGTCTAAAATATAAGAAAGTGGAAAGTGGCATATCCCATTAAATAACGATGGCTACATTTCACACAGAAACTGTTGGAACATCTAGGTGAAAGACAAGAGGTAGGTTTGTGGGGAAGCAGTCAGCTGTCTGTCTGCCCCCCCCCCTCTCTCACACACACACACACACACACACACACCCTACCTGCCCTTAGCGGTCACCCACAGCACTTTCTAAACGCACTGTCTACGGTCCCTGTCTCATTGCTGAGATGCTCTGGCCGCTGACTGTGTGGGTCATTGCCCGGCCAGAGGACATGCAGGGATCCTTTCTGTGCCCCGGCATCCAATACAGCCTCTCCCTGATAGCACTATTACTGAATCTGCCAAAGAATTTGTGTTTTTGAGAATTTTGAAATACGTATTTACTGAATTTTAAAAAAGCAGTAAACTCATTACATAGTAACTTGTTTAAATACAATTCTAAGTAATAGTTAATTATCTAGCAAATGTAAAGGCACTATTTCACATTTTTGTTCATCTCCTAAATGCCTGCTTGAGGAAATAAAGGGGGAAAGGGAATATCATTATGTACTTAGAACTGCATCTTCCAACCATACTGAATATGTCAAAAACTAATTAAAAGTTAAAATAAAGAATTTGAAAAAAAAAGAAAAAGAAAAAGATGGCCCCTCTGTATGTCTACCTGCAACCCACTGCAACACAGTGCTTTGGTTAACACCTCTGAAGTGCACAACTGGAGCAGAGAAGTGCGAGGCAAAACACGAGTGAGTTTCTTAAAGGTCTAGACACAATATCAACCTAAACAAGGTCACTCTGCACTGATCCTTTGGGTCTGTCAGGGGTCAGAACCCATCTGTCTGTCCTGCCTTTGCATGGATCTTCTGCTTCATCTATTCCCGCGGGAAATCCGCAATGTCATGCACTGTTTCTATGGGACACCCTGGTTCCCTTGGTTCTGCAAATCTTTTTTTTTTTTAAAGATTTTATTTTTATTATTTTTCCATTGGAAAGGCGGATATACAGAGAGGAGAGACAGAGAGGAAGATCTTCTGTCCGATGATTCACTCTCCAAGTGAGCCGCAACGGCCGATGCTATGCCAATCCGAAGCCAGGAGCCTCTTCCGGGTCTCCCACATGGGTGCAGGGTCCCAAAGCTTTGGGCCGTCCTTGACTGCTTTCCCAGGCCACAGGCAGGGAGCTGAAAGGGAAGCGGGGCTGCCGGGATTAGAACCGGTGCCCATATGGGATCCCGGGTGTGCAAGGCGAGGACTTAACCACTTGCGCCACCGCGCCGGGCCCTGCAAATCTTTTAAAGTACAGACTCAGTTCAATATGTGGTATCTTTTTTTTTTTTTAACCCTTTAGGTGTAGAAAAGCTGGGAAGCCCAGAGTGACGTAGACAAGTTTACTAGAAATCGTGTTTTACTCAGAGCCTGCACTGGAGAAAGATACCGGGCACAGTGGTCAAGACCCTGGCTGAGCTGCTCGCCTCCATACTGCAGTGCCCGGGGTTTGAGTCCTGGCCCCACCACCAATTCATACAACGAAAACTACAGGAGGGGTCCTGGCACGGCAGCCCAATGGCTAAAGTCCTTGCCTTGCATGCACCAGGATGCCAGATGCACACTGGCTCATATCCTGGCCACTCCACTTCCCACTCAGCTCCCTGCTTGTGGTCTGGAGGGTGGTGGAAGATAACCCAAAGCCTTGGGACGTAGCACCCATGTGGGAGACCCGAAAGGGGTTCCTGGCTCCTGGCTCCAGATTGCGTCAGTTGTGGCCATTGCGGCCGTTTGGGGAGTGAACCAGCAGACAGAAGATGTCCTTCTCCATCCCTCCTTCCCTCTGTATATCTGACTTTCAAATAGAAAATAAATAGATCTGAAAACAAAACAACACAAAACTACAGGAGGAAGCAGGTGATGGCTCAGAGCTGGCTCCCTGCTGCCTGTGAATTCCTGGTCCCCAGGCACTTAAGGAGTGAGCAGTCCAGAGGCACGCCTGCACTCTCACCTTAAGCTTACGTTTGATCATGGGCAAACACTGCCAGCTCCTGACTGAGGTGACAGCTCCCTTCAGTTATCAGGAACCCAAGTCCAGATGACTATGTCAGCTTTCTTCCCAAGAGAAGCAGTAGTCCGGGAGCAAAGAGGCTCCTCCAGCTTTCAACTCAATAGTGCCAACACCTGCACAGGGCAAGGGCCACTCCCATGACCACAGCAGTACACTTCCATGGTCTCTGCACATCACCACAGAGTATTTAAAAGACAGGAAATGATTG